GAAATAACAACCACAAGAATCAAATAACTTCGACCCTCGCTGGAAACTGTGTTACAGCAGTTTCCTCTTCAGCCGGAGAATCTCTGGAGGCGACAAGTTTCACAGCGAAAGGAGAAACGGAAGCATACTTTTGCGTTGCTTCAGCGAAGCTTGAAGCAAGAACAGTTTGCAGCCACTGATCAACTCCTCTCTCTTCATCTGATGACCATCTTAAGGCAGCTAGAATCCGAAGGATCGCATCGTTTGTGATCTCTAGATGTGTTTCAGGTCCAAAGGACCGATGAAAATGTGAAAGGATATTCCTTTTTATGTTCTTTGCTAACCCGTCAAAGTCAATCAGCTTGAATGTCACTTTCCCGTCTACTTGTTCGACAAAATCTTCAAGCCAAGCTTCCGTGTTCTCGGACATTGCATTCGCTTCATCTGTGTTTGCTTCTGTCTCATCCACTGGAAGATTCAGATCGAGAAACGAACGTTGAGACTTAATGGCTCGAAGCTCCTCAACCTCTGTTTCTGACTCCTCCTGTCTTCTCTTATTTACACCATTCTTGTTAACATTTGAAGCATCATTGCCATTGCCTATTTTTATCTGAAGTTTCCAGTTTTTGGCGCTGAGAACTTTTTCCTCGGAATATTTGACAGGTTCTTCAAGAACTTGACAATCACTGTCCTTGTCGATCCCAGAAGCAGTGGCAACAACTATTACATTTTTCATACTGATCTCTCTCCCGTGCGAATCACGGAGTTTTCCAGTTCTAACAGCATCAGACAATCTGATCTGATCAAGGAACTCGGCTTTTTCCACGTTTTCAATGAAAACGACAGAATCCGCCCGCTTAGCCACTTCGCCAGCAATGTAATCAACAACTGTTTTTCCTCTGAATCTATCATCAAGACTGTCCTGTGCCTGAAAATCCACACAGATACAATTGTCTTGGCCCCTGAAGAAGATTTCAGCAAGAGCCGACGCTACTTTCTTCTTCCCGACTTTATCCGGTCCAAGAAGAGCGAGCCAAACACTACTTGTGATTGTTGCATTTGAAGCTATGTGGCTTCTTCTCCTGGACTCATCATCTCTGTACCCGCAAATGATTTCGCTAATGGCGTTCACAGCTTCGTTCTGGAAGCCGACTTTCCGAGAGAGTAAAGCTCTGAGAGACTTGAAATATATGAAATACCGTGAAGTCGCCAACGATGGTTTCTCATTGATCACCCCAAAGTCTCTCCGGTCAAGGGACACCGGTGTGCTTGATTCCTGGTTTTTGGATGCATAGATTGTTCCCAGCCCTAAATCTGTAGTAACACAGCTCAAAGGCGAGTTTGTTGTGCGACTTGTTCGATCCTCTGTATGTTTTGGCTTCGAGATTTTAACTGATAAACCAGATTGTTTTGGCAGATTATGCGCTTTATCCATCTCCAGAAAGCTTTCAGACGTCCTAATACAAACACTCTGCTCGGTTGGGCTTCCGATTCTCATCTTCATCTGGCTAGAAGAAACAAGCTGAAGCGGGAACTGCGGTCTAACAGGCTGAAAACTGAGTTTGGGAAATGCAGGCGTTTGATGGATTCTTTGACAAATGTCATCCCACTTCTTCTGCAGAGCGGGAATGCGAGAGTCTAATGCATTTGAATTATCTTTAGCCTGCACTGAATGAGAAGCAAATACTCTCAAGATAGTGCATTGGAAGCAAAGATAATGTGAAAACCACTCTTGCTATTAACTGAGAGATAGAATTCGGTGAGGTATAGAAAAAGATCATAAAGCCGCACCTTCGTGAGAATTCCCTTGTCTTGTTCAGGCTCGACATTTCGTAACCAGGACGGTAACTTCTCTGAACACTGATCATCAGTGAGTGAGAGACTTGACCCGATCTTGGCAAAAGCCGCAACTTCTTGCTCATACTTCTCGTTGCAAAGATGACACCGAGGCAGAGAGTGATCCATTGAGTTACTAAACGGTACTCTGAAATCTGATGTTGATGAGAAAAACCCTCCAAATGGAACAAATGATCCCATCAAACTGTATATATAAACCAGAAACGTCAATTGTTTCAGCCAAAAGATTTAAACTTTTTAAGGTTAAGAATAAAGACGTTACCTGGATTTTGGATAAACCACTTGACTCGAAGATGTAATGGGAAGAAGGTGAAGATTCCAGTCTTTGTCTATCGTCGGAAACCTCTCGATCAGCTTCAAATACGTGTCGTTGCTCGAGACACTTCCGATGAACCAGAGTTTCTCACGGTGAAGCTTCAACAGATCGGAGAGTTTCGACACGAAGAAACCTTCACTGGTTAACAAGACCTTGAGCTCTCCCAGATTGAGAATCAGTCCTGGTTTCGATTTCGAGCACTTTTGCTCCACGATTCTTACTAACTCGTCCACTTTCATGTCGTTTCTCGATCCATCAGCCAAAATCTCACTAATCTCTTTCTCTATACTAACTACACTTAACCCACTAATCTCCAGAGGCAAAAACCCTAATTTCCCTCTGTTAATCGAATCAGTGAAGGTTTTAAGAGCTTCACCACCGCAGATTCCGACAAGCAGAGGATTCTTCTTATCTTTCCGACCTAAAACTTCGCCAATTCTCCGACAATTCTCGTCGAAATCGCCACTCCCACCAAACCCGAATCTAGCCCGATGACCCGAATCAGAATCCGGGAGATTACAGAGGAAGAGAGGAGGACAACGAGATCGAGGAAACCGCGAAGAGAATTGCGTCACCGGAGGATGAAGCACGTCGAGCTTAATATCGGTGCTTCGAAACCCGGCTTCACCGAAAACCCGGCTCACAATCGGGTCATCGAGGATCGACAATATGAAGTATTTAAGCTCAACTTTCAAAACCGACGTCGTTTGATTCCCACCGTGGATTTGATGAAGGTGATAAGTCTCCGGATGCCTTCTCTGAGTCGCCTGAGATCGTTTGATCGCCGCCATGAGCGAGTTCGACACCGGCGGCTCCATCACCTCATCAGCCTCCGTCGTCGCCGGAGATTTCGACGAAGGGAGTCTGTCGAGAGAAACGCCGACGCAGAGCTCAAGCGCGCGAAACTGGAGACGGGAAGAGTACGGTGTGCTATGGGCGGCGCGTGAAATGCAAACTTCACGGAGGATTGAAGAAGGCATCGTAAGGAGACCGGAAACAGCGTGAAGCGACGTCGTTTGAGCGTGGCTCCTCCTACGAGCCACGGCTACTGCGTCGTCTAAAGCACGTGCCGTTTCTTCGGTTAAACATTGCCTCGCCGTGCTGACCGGTGTCGGCATCGTCGCCGGTTTACCAAACCACCACTATTAATTACTCGCGAGATCAATCTAACCAATCAAAATCATTTACAAGAAAATTTCCAAGAAAGGATAACCGAAAAGCTATAAACAAATCGCGCGTGGAATTTCTGGAAATGGATTTTACGACAAATAAATCAAACTGTGTAGTCGCTTTTATGAAAAAGAAAACGTTTTTATTTTAAATATTAATTATACAGTTTATGTTTGTTTGGTTTCAATCCTGAGGCTTACGCTTGGATATGTAGAAAGAAGAGTCACTGTTTTGTGGTCTATTGGCGATGGGTCCCGTTAATATATATACATATTATTTTGTTATTTTGGAAGGGTCACTATTTATT